ATCAAGTATCTGCTGCTGTTCTCATATAAATACACTCTTTCATATTTAGTTTTTTTATTTGATTTTTAGTGGTAAGATCGGCAATGGGAGAGAGAGGCCACGAAGCCGAAGGTTTAGAGAAGGTTCCTCTCCTAAAAGATCAAAATGCGGCGGAGGAAGAAGTCGGAGAAATATGGGTAGAGACAAAGAAACTATGGCGTATCGTTGGACCAGGCATATTCACCAGAGTCACGACCTACTTGATCTTTGTCATCACTCAGGCCTTTGCGGGCCATCTCGGCGAGCTAGAACTCGCTGCTATATCTATCGTTAACAACGTCATCCTCGGCTTCAACTTCAGTCTCCTGGTATACATACACACATAGATAGAAACTTTTTCTTTCTTTTTTTGGTTTTAATGTTAAGATTTATACCAAATCTGTAAAACGATTATTACTTGTTCTACCCAAAAGACCTACAATATACCCATTCTATAGAACCCAAGCAAGATCTATAAGTGTATGTAAGGGATGAGAAACACAACCAAATATAATTCAAGGAGATATGTGGTAGAGGGATATATATAACGGGTTTGCATAGTACGATCATCCACCATGGTTTACTATGCGAAACACATAAAGATAGAAACATTTTTATATATGGCTTATATTAATTATAATGTTTACTTTGTGAAGAAACTATATTTATGTATACATGCAGCTTGGAATGGCGAGTGCATTGGAAACATTATGCGGTCAAGCATTTGGAGCGAAGAAGTATAACATGTTGGGAGTTTATATACAAAGATCTTGGATTGTTCTCTTCTTATGCTGCATCTTGCTCCTCCCTACATACTTACTTGCGACTCCGATTCTTAAGTTATTTGGCCAACCTGACGACATCGCTGAGCTCTCCGGTACCATCGCGCTTTGGGTCATTCCTAACCACTTTGCCTTCGCCTTCTTTTTCCCTATCAACCGATTCCTCCAATGTCAGCTCAAGAATATGGTAAGTAACTAAGTATGTAGCGGACCGGAGAGATTAGTCCACCAACCTTGTTGAAATGTGTCAATTTGTAGTAAATAGTTTCATTTTATATTCGTTCTAATTTATATTAAAGTTTGTCCACATCGTATGCTCCGTCCGATGCCACTATTCAAAGTCAAACATAAATGATAATTAGTGGGGAAAGTTTATATTCAGCTCTACTACATCATAAAATATAGTTGAAATTTTTATATTTGGTTGTTCTTCTGCTCTGATATTTTTTTTTTATAGAATAAGAAAGAAATAATTGTCCACTATTTTATTCATTGTGTTCATTTAGTAAAGCTGTCAAAATCGCAATATCATTTGACGAAATCAGTTACTGCATTTCTTCGATTTACTCCGAAATTTAAGGAGTGAATATTCTTGATATTAATTGCTAAATGTGTGTTTGGTTAATATTCTCTTAAATGGCCACCAGGTAATTGTATTTGCGTCTGGAGTGGCACTTACAGTTCACGTATGTGTGTGCTGGCTTTTTGTGTACGGTCTTAAATTTGGAGTCATAGGGACCATGGCTACTGTTAACGTATCATGGTGGCTCAATGTTTTCATCTTATTTACTTACATCACTTGCGGCGGTTGTCCGCTCACTTGGACCGGGTTCTCAATCGAAGCTTTCATTGGACTATGGGAATACGCAAAGCTTTCTGCCTCCTCTGGAATCATGCTTTGGTACTATTCGTGGATCGCCACTTGTGTCGCATTTTTTTTGGGTGGTTTACGGATCGGAACACAACTTCTAACGGTAGATTTCTTTTGATCGAGGCAGCTTGGAGAATTGGTATTATAGGATTTTAATTGTGATGACTGGAAATTTGGAGAATGCAAAAATTGCTGTCGACTCTTTGTCTATATGGTACGTTAAGTATGTATTTTGGGAGATTAATTAATTTATTATATACGAAAAACGATTTTTTAATATCTATTTCTTTCACAAATATTTTTCTGAACTAATTTTATAATTACAATTTTTTTCGGCAGCATGTCGATAAATGGTTTGGAGATGATGATTCCACTTGCTTTCTTCGCCGGGACTGGGTATATCTAATCTTTTCATCTTTATCAGTATCGTATCATGATACTTTTTTTTAGTTTTGTTTGATTCGACTTATATTGTACATGATCTAAAGACTGGTTAGATCATGGTTTATAATGTTATAAATCAACGTAGCGTACGAGTGGCGAATGAATTAGGAGCAGGCAACGGAAAAAGAGCAAGATTTGCAATGATCGTATCAGCAACACAATCCTTAGCCATTGGAATAACCTTCTCGGTTCTCGTTGTATTTCTTCGTGGTCAAATCGGTTGGATATTTTCTTCAAGTGAAACCGTCGTAGAAGCAGTCAATGATCTCTCTATTCTTTTAGCCTTTACCATTCTTCTCAACAGTGTCCAACCGGTTCTATCCGGTACGCCACACAAATTTTTGTTTATCGACAAATAAACCGGCCGGGTCAACGGTGCTGTGTTGACTTTTTGACTTTTGATTAGGTGTTGCGGTTGGTTCNGGNTGGCAATCATTTGTGGCATATATAAACTTGGGATGCTACTATTTCATTGGACTTCCACTTGGATTTGTTATGGGATGGGTTTTCAACTCTGGTATTAAGGTANAAGCCAGTTTTCTTGATTAACTTTATGTCAATGTTTGAAGTTTAAAATCTCTATAAATAAATGAATGTCTATTTGTGATTATTATATGTTACTAGGGCATGTGGGCTGGTATGATAATTGGCGGAACCGCAATTCAGACGTTGATATTGATTTTTATTACTGTGAGATGTGACTGGGAAAAAGAGGTAACTCAAACTTTGTTTGTTGCTTATGGTTCGTGTATATGGTTTGTTTCAGGTACTTCTTTCATTTAAATGTTTCGTTGTGTTTCAAATTTGTAGGCACAAAAAGCAAGCGTGCGCGTAAATAAGTGGTCGGTCTCTGGAACAAGAAATTGAAAATTGTAAATTAAAATAAATTTGGAGCATACATTTCATAAACTTAGGTCGTGTTTTGTGAGTAAAGCACATACTATATCATTGCAATTTCACATGATTGAAATGGGCAACTAGTAGATCGGAAGATATCATTGCAATTTCACATGATTGAAATGGGCAACTAGTAGATCGGAAGAGTTTTATGGACATGATGGCTTCTCTTCCCTCCATCAAGCTCAATAAACTCTACAACCATGTCTTCGTCTACGATGCCATTTTCAGGTTGATTTATGCTTTCTTATTAGGATAATTCACTAACATTACACACTTTTAAGATTTTGTTTCAAATATAGTACTATTGGTTTAAATTTCCAGTAATAGCACAAACGTAATAACAAAATGACTCAAAACCTCTTCAAGGTGAAATCTAAACCTTAAACTGGAAAAAGAGAAGTCAAACATTATGTTATAATTTTGCGGTTTTTTTTTCCAGAAATGATAGTTAGTAGACTTATGCACGAGTTAGTAATTTTGTTCAATACTTCAGTCTGTTCCAGTAGTGTGGAGGAATATCTACGTCCAATTCTTAATTCGGAAATTGGTTTGATCATTATCTTGACGTCCGAAATTAATATGAATACTCAACGGTCTGAGCTTCTTCTCATATTCATTCACTGTGCTTGGATTGATATGTAATAAGATACTGTAGATAGTTCCAATTTTTTTTCCTATACGGCTCTTCCAACGTTGTCATTCTATATCATCATGTATCTGCTGCTCTCATCCAATTTTTGTTAAAAATATCTTCACGTATTTGTATTACACTATATATGTAAATGTAAATTTAATTTGTATTACACTATATCATCACGTATTGTTGTTATAAAAGTTTTAAAATCCGAAATTACTAAGCCCAAGTGCAAGCAACGAGTAGTAATTAGAGTATCGATCCACAAAGAGTTAGAATAACACACTAAGAATGTAAGCAATTGATTAATCTAAGCTAAATGATGTTTTTGGTTTTTCTTCAAAGTCCTAACGATGCAACTAAGTGAAACAAGCGAATGAGAATGAAAATTGAAGATAAACAAGACTACAATGCTAAAAATAAACTAAACAAAACTAAATCAAACCATAAACAAGTTTAAACAAATTCAAATGCAAAAGTCAACTAAACATGAACCGTAAAATCAACAACTAAAAACTTGATCAAATATGGGAAAGCATGGGCTTTGGGCAAAACAATTGACTTGGGATGCTCAATGACTAACTAATGATGCTATGACTAACAATTCAAACTCAATTTCATGGCATGAATCAAACAAAGT